ACTTTGATAGCATAAAGCCGTCGTGATTTCTTCGTTTCCGCCAGCATAACCTTACCAAAGTTACCCTTACCGAGGACTGCAAGGAAGTTGAAGTGGTCCAATCCAATACGCTGACCAGTCCCCGGGTCAGTTGCGGAGGGCAAAGGTTTCCTTGAAGGGGGCGGCAATGTAGTACTCGATGTTAGTGAAGGGGTTTCCTGTACTGGTTGCGGTTTTGAAACCGGTGCAACAGGAGGGTACATCTGCTGTTGCTGTATTAGAGGTGGTGGAGATTGCGGCTGTTGGGCCGGGAGTTGCTGTTGCTGCGGTATTTGCGGTTGGCTTGGAGGATAGTTGGCAATATTTGCATACGCTGCTGGGTTATACTTCGGCTGCGAAGGCACATTGTAGGGCTGGCCGGCTGCGTACGGATCTTCTTGAGCGTCTACGGTCCCGCCATAGCTACTACCTGTCCTACCAGAGGAGTAATCTCCTGGGCGACCTGATGTAGAAGCTATAGAACCGCTCATAGCAGCTGTAGCAGCGGCAGCGGCAGCGCTCGAGCCGGATGAAGTACGATCAGGATAGATGGGCCTCGTCGGCGAGGTCTGGCTAGTATACATAGCTTTGGCAGCATCGGTCGCCTCTTGAGAAGCGATACTAGTCTGGTAGGACGGTGCACCATGAGGGCTATAAGGTGACATGGGACCTGACGATGCGCTAGTAGGGCTAGACTTGCCCTGTCTAAGGGTCTTATCAGTCAACGAAGTCGCCTTTTGTTGCCTCTGTTTTTGTGATCTGATGCCTTCGAGGATCTGATTAGCAACAGCCATACTCATACCGCAGAAGTCCGGTACAAGATGGACGCAGTGAGCATGAGCTGTGAGCGCGCACTCTATAGAAATATTAGCCATATTCAAACAACTAAGGGGTAAGAGTAGGTATCGATCGTACCGGTACACTTTCTGCAATTCTTCTTTCCAAAAGGTAGTATATAACCACAGTGACAACACCAATTAGCGGTGACATTCGAAAATGCCGCAAACCTATGGGGAATACGGTGATTGATTTTCTCCTCATCTGGATCTGTTTCGGCGTTGCTTTTACTAATACACTTTGTCACCACGCTCGAATAACATTTCGTATGGCAGGTATATTTGCAGTCCTCGCACTGCATACCCGCAGAGTATTTGAGAAAATCGCCGCAAAGGGCACAGCGCATGATGTTGTAGAATTGGTGTTGCACGAACTTGTGTCCGTACATCTCGTGTACCTCTTCTTTGCGTTGACGAATAGCACCCTTTCGCCCAAGGCCAAGGTCCACGTTTCTGCGGTCCTTACTTTGTTTTATGAAGTTAAGCGATAGGTGAATAGCACCTGTAGGCTCTAGATTAAACCACGCATCGATCGGTTGAGAGGTAACTTGTGGCACCGCTTGCGGCCCAAACTGCTGCTGCTGACTCGGTCCAGCTAATCCAGGGGATGCAGGTCCGGCACCAGCTTGCGGTGGTTGTTGCGGATCCATTGGGAACTGAGGCGGGGGCACTCCAGGGCCTCCTCCCATCCTATCGGCAGATACCCAACCAGAGTTGCTGACCTCGGCCTCGATTCTCTTTTTTCGCATCTCTTCCACGATATCTGATATCCGCACCCATAGCATGGCAATGGGTAATGCATGTTCACCTGGCTTGTCATAAACCGTAAGTTCGATCTCGTTCGCCTTGTCCACCTCGATATTATGGTATTCGGCTTCCCATCGATCGGTACGTGATACCCTTGTTCGTGCAACGACGTTGTCCTCGACCTTAATAGCGATGAAGGTTTCTGGGCCTCGTGAAAACCGCCCGGTACTGGCATGGTCCACATCTCTCACCTGAACAATTCGAATGGTAAGCTGCCCGGTTAATGGCTTGCGTAGGTTGGGCATATTGATACTGTCATCTGCAAAGATAGACTTGTTAGCGCAGAAATATAACACAAAAACTGCGGAGCGGGCAGCGAACCGTCAGGAGAGTCGGCGGAATCCAAATCATCTATATGAAGTTCTTCGTATCTCTTGAGTGCCTGCTTTAGGAGATGAATCTTCTGTTTACTCTCAACCCTCCTCGCTGCGGCGTCAGCTTTGCTTTTGCGATCACCTTCCATGCCGTAGAGTTGAACCATTTTTTCCACACCCTTGAGATATTGCTCCTCGACGTTAAGCTTAAACTGGATTTGAGAGAGCATAAGTTGGATTCGAGGACCGAGATAAGGAGTATCGTATTTAATAAGATCTAAAGACAAATAAAAAATTAGTTATACAAGTTTTATTATAGGGGCTATGGTAGAGCTCGCAGTGACAGTAGCGGGAGGAGGAGGAGGGGTGACAAACCTAACTTGGTAAAGTTTGGCCTCAGTTTCGGAACCGTCGAAGTTGGCCCTGGAGGGGCGTATGGATGCCGCGGCGGCATGATATCTCCATGGCCGCCGATTTGGCTATAAGGTAGTGAGCCATAAGAGCCCTGATCGCCGGACCACGCGCCAGCATCTTTAGGCGGGGGTGGTGGTGCTCCCTCGCCCTCACGCATATCGAGACTGCTAGGACGCAACGAGCCGGGTGCGGTAGAGCTTGAACCGATGCTCATGCTATCTACACCCTGTCCCAGACGCTTCATCTGTAAATCTCGAAGCTTCTCTTCGAAAAATTGGAGATTCCGACGGCCCTCCCGCATCTGGCTATCGAGACGAGATCTGACATCGTCATTGTTGGTCTGCTGTCGCATAGAATTAGCAGCATTGATCAGAGCTTTCTCGCGCTCGATCTTTTTATAAATATTTGCCATGGCCTCTTCGTCGTTCATGGTGGGCAGCCGGGTTGCGCGTCGTCACGCGCGGGACCAAGTAGGTATGTAGGATGTATGTACTAAGACTTGTTGTTGTTGTGCGAGTGGAGGAGATGTTAAGAGGCAGAAATGCGGGCGGCCCGAGATAAAGCTGGAGAAAAGCTATCTCACAACTCGGTACACTATTGCCCACCTAATACTGCCTTATACTACCTGTACTGGTAGCAACCGGCAGGCCCAGGGCATACACTACCCGTAGCGCTAGCGTTAGCCTTATAACAGAAGCCAGTTGATATTTGGATTGAAGCAAGAGGTATATGTAGTTGTCGGGTTGGCGTGTTGTCAAAGAGCGGGTAAGGAGCAAAAGATTAAAAGATTAGGAAAATTGGGTAGTGCGATGTCGTCAGTGTCAAGTACGCTACCTTAGGTAGTAGGTAGGCAGTAAGTAGTAGGTAGAGGTAGGTATTGCCTTGTGTCAATGGCGGGGTTTTGTGTCTCGCATACGCTGATACGGCAGGCGCAAGTCTATGGGTGGTCCGTGTTGAGTTGAGTCCCACTGTGGATTTATGGATTTATGGATTGAGGATTGCGGTGCACTTAAATAATTCAAGATTGTTACTTGTTATCAGTTGATAACCCGATGGGCGCCCTCTTTTTCTAGTATTACCCCCAAGTCTCGTATTATCATTTGAGTTGAGGGTTAATAAGATAATAAGAGAGGAATGTCGTAACTTTTTCGTCAAACCTCGAATACCTAAGTGGACAATTACAAAAAGAAAAAAGAAAAAAAAAATAGATAAGGACGGGGAAGACGAGTGCCACCGGGAACCTCGAAAAGGAAGCGTAATGCCGTAATGCATACCTAACCTATTTCCTACACACATATACAAAGTGCGAAGCCGGTATTTGTTGATTTTATTTATGTCGGTGTTGGCCGTCTGCGTGTCATCGGTTTACCAGGTAACCCAAGACACAGACAAGTGAGCGATTCGGCCTATCCAAAGCCAGCCTGCCTCCACAACAAGAATCAATCCCCAAGTTGTTTGTCGCCTATTTGGGATCATTTGCAGCTCGGAGAATTCAAATAGAACGGCGTATAAACTTATTGAAGAGGGAAATACCTAACATTAGAAGGTTAGGTAGGTTAGAATAAAATAGGCGTCTGGGGAAAGCAAAGTAATATCAGGCGAGGTGAGATCAATCGATTCTAAAACAGCCCACGTTCCATTTGAGTAGGAAGTTGAGACTTTCATATTAACCCATTATGTAGGTATAAGGTGGGAGGTAGCTATATATCTCAACTACCTACCTAGGTATCTATTCGCATGTCATATCTGGTACTTGTGCTGTCTGCGTAAACTCGACGACCGCACCCTAAAGGGTGCTGCGCTTTAATTAGGCATTAGCCCTTGTAATTGGGGATAGCGTACAAGGATTGGGGCGAATAAGAGGCTATTCCCACCTTCTTTAAATCCTGAAAAGGAAACAATATTTTCATAATATTATGAAAATGGATGAAAGTTTGAAAATACTTTTAGGATATATGGGAAGCCTTCCCATTCGGAAGTACTTCGGATCAATCCTGAGTTACAGGGCCAATCCTTAATTAAAGCGCAGCACCCTTTAGGGTGCGACGGGCGAGTTTACGTAGCCAGCACTAGTAGCATACCTAGGTAGGTAGTTATTACTATCTACATATCACCACCGCACGGCTTGCATTCGAATCTACGGTCAGAACCTGCAACATAATACGAGATAGGCAAAGATCGCCATATTTGTACATGTGTGGAGATGCGGGTCAAGAGTCGCGGCTCACATACATAAAACTATGTCAATATTTGATATTGATCTTGCCCTACCGGTGTAACCATTGGGCATCACGAAAACAACAAGACTCTCTCCATTTGTCAGCTAAGCAAATGGGTTGCGCGTCCCCCGGGGGTGCTGTAACGCAAAATATACATACCGGCGATTTGGGGAGCCGCTTTCAAGGAGTGACCTGTCAAGTCAAAAGTTGATACAGGGCGGGGAAGAAACAATATCCCCCAGATATCACAACCATCACAATCTAGACGAGAACTTAACCCCACCTTACGTACCTATCAACTTGTCATGATCAGAGATGATGCCGCGGTTATTATACGATTCGCGAGTTCATCGAACCAAGTCAAGATTTCACACATGACACACTATTTCATTTGATGCCATGGACACATTGAGTTCCAAGATATAGCCCAAGCTTTAAATAAATGATGATCCTTGATGCCCAAGGCTGTAAACTAACGTAATAAGTTCTTTAGATTCAGATCTCATATACAACGCAGTCCGGGGGTATCAATAGTATTAACATCGCGAGCCAAAACTGCTCACAGCTATACAGACACGTCTTATCTCATTTGATCTCATACAACCAAGCGCAGGGTATTAGGACATTATGAAATGCTAAAAACAGAAATTGCCTTGTTGGTACTCTTCCATCATGACGCTTGGCCAGGTACAGCCGAAGTAGAGGGTGCGGCCTTTTCGTTATTCGGGTCCGCTGCGGGCTGGGCTGGTAAATAGGAAGGCTGCGGTGGTGCCGGTGCGTAAAACCCGGCGAGACTTTGGTAATTCTGTCCGACCGGGTTGGCTCGAGGGGCGGTTGGTGCTACGGCACCGGTCCCGTTAGGAACTGGACCAAATCGCACTTGTCCCGCTTGCAACTGTTGTGGCGGTTGCGGAAACGACTGCATCGGCACCGGATACGGATAGTAAGGAGTAGTACCTGGTGGTGGTGGCGGAGGTGGGTAGTACATGCCTCCCGCCGATAACATAGGTGGTAGAACAACGCCTGCAGGCCTCGTCATATTCCGTTTGTGCGTATCGATGCACGCCATGACGAAAAGAATGAAGTGATCGATGGTGGCCAAGCCGAAGAAAGCAGCTACGGCTTGGATCATAGGCAGATACGCGCCGTTGCTGTACAGCCCGATGTCATCGTGACAGTAGCTGTAACTATAATACGAATAGCGCTCGGTTTCCTCCTCGGCACATTCTCTGATAGTAGACTGGACGGAGAGGGAAATCACAACCGTAAGAAGAACAGCGAATACACAGGCAAGCCAGAAGCAGAGGTGTAGGGCAACGTGTGCCCCTGGGTGAATTCCTCGTTTAACGTCACTCCGTGAGCGAATACCAAAGGTGATTAACTCGGCGCCGTTCCATAAAATGGCAGCGATGCTAATAGGAAGGGCATACAATGCCATGCCTTCGGCATTACCATCATCGCCAAGGAAGGCGCATGACAAAGCCAGGATTACGATAGCGAAGATAGTTGAGAAGACTGTGAGAACGAGCTTGGCGGCTGTCCAGGACTTTGAATAAGGAGGAAGGGCTCGAATAGGCTGCGCACACTGATACGGCTGGGGCTGGTAGGCATATGGCCCATAAGGTGATGGATATTGAGGATACGGTTGTGGGAGTGGCTGCTGATGTGCAGGCGATCGTGGTTGAGCAGTTGGATTTCCTGCTGGCCTAGCTGGTAACGATGGTGTTCCCCCGTTCACGGGCTCTTCAGGCTGGTCCCTCGTTACCGGAGCTGCTGTAGCGTTCTCGTGGGTCGCTGAGGCCGGGCTGCTCACGGACGAAACTTCATTCTCATCTCTCGTTTCAATAGTCGGCCTCGGATTCTCATTCGAAGCCATCTTGGTAGCAATAGTAATTAGCCACAATATAAGAGGGAACTAATTATATTAACTCAAAGTTGAAAGCAAGAATAAAAGTAAATGCGCAAAGATTAAAAATTAAGTAACTATAATAAATAAGAACGATCGGATGGAAATATTTCCAGGAATGTAACGAACGACGACGAGCTGGATGAGAACTCCAGCACGAGAATAGGCTGACGAGAAACGGAGAGATAAATCGAAGGGGGAATCTTTCCGCCTTTCATTTGAAAATAAACGAGAGCCAAGCTTTTCAGCCCTGGTCATCTTGCCATCAGGCCATTAGCGTAGGCATGTTACATGTCTACCAACGTCGCCACTATATACTATTTATATAGTTACATGTTCTTATAATTACTGGATAGGTACCTGCTATACATGACTAGTAATTAGTTAGTAGTTAGCTGGTGTTGTTTCTGTTCTTTTCTGCAATTCTAGACAATATTTAGACAAACAGGCTACCTTTACATCTCGTAAAGAGCATCTCATGATCAAGATAGTGACTCACTAATAATAGCCCAACGGTAAGTAACATCGAAATTGTGATCTAGGCAGTTCTTAAAATCCGACAATGAGATGGAAGTCCCTAGTTCGGATTTTAAGTTGCGGCGCAGCAATTCAGCCTAGAACTAATTCTATTCTAGATCGGCCCTAATCAGGTACCTAGATCAGGTACACAATGGGCTAGACTGCAGAGGAGGGAACCTAAACATTGGAAACTAATGCATGCAACTAGAACGACTTTGCACCAAAAGGAACGATATTGCAGGAAGTTAAAACATAGTCCAGGGGCTTAGAAAATAGATATGCAATATGAAGAAATTATTAATATGAAAAGACACTAATCCCCTAGATAAATTCAACTTCATGGATCATCCTCAAGTCGGTCTACTACATATTTACATAATCTCATACAGTAAAGGAGATGCCAAATCCTACCCGTGGCGTCTATACAATTTCAATGTTCATAGTATTCTAATTCTCCTCAGTGTTTCCTAGCCAACTTCGACCGAGCTCGAATTCTCGCACCGAAAAAGTATAAAACATAGACTAATGCTACAAGGCCAAATGAGATGAAACCTAACGTCGCCATCGCCCATTTAGCACCTAGATTATGAAACATGACGATACCTGCATTTCCACGTGTTAGAGTCGACCCGGAAAACGCTTTGCGATGGAATCACTCACCTATATGGCAACAAGCAGCCGCAATCAGAAAAGATGGTATCAAGAATGCAGCTATCGCCGACGCAGCAACATTAGTATATGAATCAGCAATATAATTAAGCATACTGAGCCACAGTAACGGGTCGCAGAAACCCAATAGACCACCTGCTATTACGGGCGACCAAAACGACACGCTTCCGTCACAGGTAAAAGCGAACCATAGGAGAGATATCGGGAAGCCCCAGACGAATAAGAGCGAAGTCAGGAATCTTGCTTCTGGGCGACCGATACCACCGTTCCTCATACGGTCGCGCTTGTAAAACCAGGTCTGAACCGGCACAAACGCGAACATGATAGTTACGCTGACGACGAAATTGAGAAATGTCAAATCAGCTGACATATACCTGGTCTCGTTAGAGTCGATACCCCTCTAGTGAAGATGGGAGATGCTTACGATAGCCCGTTATTAACTACGAAGACATCAAATACTCCATCTAGATATAAATAGAGCAGCCCATAAGCGAATCCATTATAGATACCCAAGAAAGTGACGATGGGCTCGGTCAGCATAATGCGAAACGCCATCGAGGTGACAAACCGTATTTCCCGAAGGACGTCAATACGTTCTTCCATAACAGCGAGCTCAGTTGGATCCGATGATTTGTGTGCCTTGGCCGCTTTACTAATGACCACCCGCGGTAGTGTTTCTGGAATGAAGCACATGATGATGGCAAAACCACCAGCGATGATGACGCTGTCTGAGGTCAGAACGAAGTGTCCTTAAAACTCGCCCGTTATGGAGCAAGTTGCCGAGCGCAGACTCACTTGATCCAGAATATCCACGGCAGTCCCAAGTGCTCGTTCTCAGCAATCAGTTCTCCAATAGGAGACCCTATGCTTGGACCATAATTTGCCGACATCACAAACAGCGCCATAGGCTGGCCAGCTCCATCCAAATCGCCAAACAGATCAGCAATAGTGCCGGCTACGTTGGAGAGAGCCGTGCTCCCGGCGGCTCCGCAGAGGAATTGAAAGATGATCAGCATCGGTAAGTTGCGCGCCAATGCTGTGCCGATGTTCAGGATCGCATAGACGCCGATAGACACCACATAAATCCATTTTCGTCCTCCGATATCACTAGAAAGTACTATTTAGCTTTTATGAAAAAGGCTCGGTCTCTTATTAATAACAATACCAAGGGCACACATACGATAGAGGGCCTAAAAATGCTGGCCCGACAGCTGTCCCTACGATGAACATGCTCTGACCAAGAGCTACTACTTGAGTAGACCCGCCATACTTCTCCTGGACGAGAAACTCGGCGCTGACGTAGGTCGTGGTCGAGAGGGTAACGAATACTTGAAGCAAGCAGTAGACGGCGATGATGGGCCATTTTTTTATTGAACTCCAGTGAATGGGGTGAGATGCGCTACTAAACTCGACTTTCTGAAGGGCAGAGAGCGCCACATCTGCGTCCGAGTTAAGGGCATGTGCAGTCGGTTGCTCAGCCTTCTCTTCCATTCTCTTTGCGATAGCTACGTGAGGATCGCTTCATCTGACGAATTCATGAAGAGATTTTGGCTACCAGCTAAGAAGCCGAGAACTATGCGCTATATTACGTACATATCCACTACTATCGGCACACTGAGGAACGGATGTCAGCAACCTATGATACCACATCGAAAGCCACCAGGAACAAGGGGATCTACGAAATGTTCCCTGGCCCACCGACTCGGACCCAATCAGATATCCCATATGCTTATCATTAGAATGGGTCGCCCTGCCAGATTATGTAGGGGTCTCGGCTCGGAATTCGGGTTGAGGCGTCGAATGACGTCCACATTAACAAAGACAGACTACTATTTCGTACTTTAATTGGTCCAACAGGGTTTTCAGGTTTTATTCCCGCAACTCGGATAGGTCGGTCGCGCCGGCTTGATAATAATCCTCCATGCAAGACAGTCACTTTAAGACCGCCTATGGATAAGATCCATCCAACCCAATATTCATAACATGATAAGTTCTTGTCTTGGGTGGCACATCAGTAGCATTAGGTACTTAACTCCGGGTTCTTTTCTCACTTAGTCCTCAGCCCAACGCCCCGTGCAACATTTCGTGCTACTGCGGAAATTTTTCAAGGGGGCGCTTAATATATTAGTGCTTCACCTTATGTCGTATTCTCAAACTGATTCAGATCAGAGCTAGGTAACTAGCTCTTCGATCGTAGACCCGGGTCTCAATATCCATGGTTGTCTTTTGAATCGCTCTATCCTCTAAAACCCCGTGATGGTATGGGAGGTGTCATCAGCTGGATATCATAGACATATATGACCATTATAATAAAGATAGAATCGAACTTAAAGATAAGGTACTCAGATTATGCTCACAGTGTGTCTATATATTATTAGCTCAATATCAAGTACTACTTAAGTTCCATCCATCTATCAGGAAACCATGGTAGGATCACATATATAAGATAGTTAGTGGACAGCTCTACGAGGAAGGCCATTAGCCTTTGATTGAGAGTGATAAGTATTCGTATATTTATAAATATACTAGTTCCTCACTAGATTGCTATGTTAACACACGGGCTTAGCTCTAACACTACTTATCTTCGTCGGGTTAATATTAAGTTGACGTGAGTGGTACCCTATATATATGCGTATTTTCGTTTAGTAACAAGCCCCCGCTTGGACATAGAAGTACTTGGATGATAGGGAGAGGGGTGAGCCTCATGTCGCGTATGCCTTCATGTGCAGCCATTTAATAGGATTTAATGGCGTTTCCAATACCGGCTGGCTTTAGTACCATGAGATAAACGTATAAAGCTTCCATCATCATATGTTAGGTATATAAATGAGTATTAGGATAAGGTAGTTAGAATAAGCTCAACCAATGTTGGTATAACGTCGAAGGCCAAGAAGCTATTACGTATTCCAAGCTCGCCCATTGCTAAAAGCGTCAATTCTACTTCAAATTGTTGGTCATGATTGGATGAGAGTGTGGTACAACTAGCCAGGATGTAGCAAACTTAAAGTTATTAAATTCGTTGAAGGAGGGGGGGATGTTGTTTGACAACATGTTTGCAAGGGTTGTGATTCCCTTCAGTGCAACTAATATCTTGCCTCTAATATTGGCCAGCTGACGTCGTAGTGTACCTTAGTTAAATAAAGAACGGTTCATTAGTGGATACGTTATCCCTACCGGGTACGTTTCCCCTGCTTTTTAATTGATCCGGGGAAGCTGAGTTGGTTTCTAATTGATAGAACAGTCAAGATTGATAAATAGCCTTCATCGTATGTAGGAACTTATCATGACTAATGTTTTACTGATTATGATTTTCCTCGATTCCTGTTTTGTTATCCTACTATCTTCATACGCCTACAACGCAATCCCTCGTTCAAATATAGGAATTCTTCTAACCCAAGCCCTCACTGATACATATTCAAACTCTCCAGCCAAATTTTAGGATAAAGATAATAAGAGGTAGCCACATAAGGGCAAACAGAATTCGTATCGATCGTCGAACCTAGAAAGCATTGACTCTGTAATAACGAGGGAACGCCTGGATCCACGGGTTTGACCGTGGAGATGCGATAATTTTAACCGATGTCGTCCAACGCCAAACTTGGTAAACGCATACTACGACATCCCATGAAGTCGACTATGAGAGCCCCAGGTACCTTGCCACGTGAGCGGCAGCCTCGCCAGCTGCTTCCTCTCCCCCTTCACTACTTGCTCCGTGGCTTAAGGCCTCGTGGGGGTTCGGGAAGTAAAAGGCGGCCACGGCGATGGCGACGTAGACGATAATACATAAGAAGCCCTCTAGATAGTCGCTCTTCTGGTCCCTTAGGAAGTTTCCAACGGTGATAATAGCGAGGATCAACATGACAATATCGAATAGTTCGAAGTTGAGGTCCATCGGGAAGCCATAACCCCATCCGACAATAATAACCAACGGAGCGTTTAACATGGCGGTTTGGATGGTAGCGCCAATACAATGTGTGAGGGCAAAGTTGATCTGATTGTCCCAGGCCTCGTCGATGGCCGTTAAGTGTTCGGCAGCTTTTTCGACCAGAGGAACTAAAATCAAGCCCATGAAGGGATCGGAAACGTGGCCCTGTTCCACAATAGGCGTGATCTCATCGACTAATGCAATGGCAATCAACGTTACAAGGGCTACCGAAATGGTTAGTGCCAGGATGCACTCCGTAAATGTTAACTTGGCTTTCGCCCGGTCCTTGTGACCATCGGCATCTCGTTCCTCGTCATGCTCGAACACAGCGTCGTAGATACCGTGGTGGGTATGCATCTGGAAGAAGAGGAAGACGCCATATGCGATAAGGAGAAGGATTGCAATGATATGCGAGATATTGAGGATCCTAGCATCAATCTCTTCCGTGGTAAGGTCGTAGCCTGTACTCGTGATGGAGCGTTGGAAAACCGTAGGGATCGCTAAGCCAAGACCACTGGGAGATGTTAGCATTCTACAAAATTTAGAGCAGGACTGGAATTGGGGCACAGGCGTACGCGATAAGCAGGAGGTTCGAGCCAACTTCGCTGACGGCACCGTGGAATGTGGCCTCTTCTCGTCGTAAACCAGCAGTAAAGAAACACAAGCCCAAGCACAGTAGCATATTAGCTAAAATAGATCCGAGAATGGCAGCTTGAATAACGTAGTACTGGTTATTACGAAGCAGAACCATGAATAAGATAATTTCGACGATGGATCCAATCGTGGTCTCGACGAGAACACCAAGCATGTGCGGCATCTTCCTAGCTAGCTCCTGGCCAGCGAATCCGATGAGATTTGCGCATGGAACCATGGCGATATACGCTATACTGAACTTGAGTATATCATGGCCCTCAAGAACCGAAAAATGGAGAGCAATTGCGGCGGGTACAAAAGGCCAGAGGATGTTTACAGCTCTCGATATCCAACTAGTAGATCGCCAAACGATGGCCAGGAATTGGAGAGGATGTACGCCGCTTCGTCCTGATTCTCCCGCCGACTTGATGCGTACAAGGCCGCGGATCCCACCCTCTGGGCTACCCATGGTCTCCTGTCGAGTTTGAGGAAGTGCCGATGCTTGTTTATTAGTCTGGGAGCGTCGTGTGACTTTTTCGGGATCCCCAATAGCACCCTCACCGTTTACCGTCATCAGAAAGCTTCGAACGACTTTTGTTGTGGTACCATAAGCGAAAACTGGCGGGGACGGGAGGGGAATAAAGAGAGAAGAAGAAAAAAGCAAGTAATAAATAAATTCTGAAGCCGCTGAGAAAGAAAGTAGAGAAAATAGGTAGAGAAAAGAAAATAAGATAAAATCAGACAGAAAGCAAATAAATGTTTGGCGCTTATGATTTCAATGCATCAGCCCCAGCGCAGTGAAACAATAAGGAAGGAGTTCGCACTATGGCCATCAAATGGGAAAGGAAATATGAATAAATTATTCATTACCCCATAGGCTTTATGGGCCTGGGCAATCTGGCAATTCATAAATTCGTCCACTTGGCGCGCTGCTGCTGCGTTGTTCTTTGCCAAGACATACCATACATCGTCAATGTACTCGTCCTATTGGATGGCCCCATCCAAGCCATCTTAACCCCATGTATCGTCAGGCCTCCGATGGCACGTGCTGCGCCAGATTCCAAGGGTCCACCTATGAATGAAACGGGGGAGGGCTTGTATTACGGTAGATTTAAACAAGCCATAAACAAAGGCGGGGCATTTAGACAGACTCATCGAATAAGAAGCGGTGCTTCGTATAAAGGAATAATACGAAGGTAGGGCTGGCTACCTAACGAAGGTGATCTTCCATGTCATATTTGAGAAGCGGGACAACTTGAACGTTATTCGATTTAACTATTTTCTTTGTGAACCAGGTACCTTAGGTACTTGAACCAAGCTGGTGCTAGAGTCGGTGAGCCTTGATGAGCCTCAAGTCAGGTTAGATAAGCTTGACTATGAAAATGAAACTCTTTACTCAAGCTATTCATATAAGAGGTACTCTCTCCTGTGACTTATATATTAAATCGACAGGGTCAGGCCACTTACTCTTCCATTCAACTGAAGGATCTTCAACATTGAAGTGAGCGGGTGAGTGTTTAATATGCTGTTTGTGTAACTTATGTAGTTTGATATTTGTACTGTTTTGCATCGAATGAAACCAATATATTTTGATGTATTATCTCTAATTATTTCAAACCCCATTTTAACTTCAAATCTACTCCTGTACACCTCGATTAAAGGGAATCACACCCCATACCCATCCATCCCTCCCCTGACACCATCATCTTTTAAAGACCTCCCCTAGTATATTTTAAGCCCGAATTGTGAACAACCATTGGCTATTGTCAAGCCTATAGCTGAACGTGCGGTTCAGGCAAAGCCTTCCAAATAACAGTGATCTCCTTAGCCTTATTCTCTATCTCATCGGCACTGCATGAAGTCTCTTCCAACTGATCCGCCACCCCTAGAATTTCAGCGCTTCCAGGCCCACATATAAGCCAGGGAAGAAAAGATGCTTTCCAAGCCGGGAATTGTTTAAGCGCCGTAGAGCATACCGTTACTATGAATAGTAACATGGTTAGGAGTACTATTGACGATGAAAACAGCATCCACTGCCACCGGACTTGTATACAGGTTGCGTAATGGAAGACTTGCCCAACGGCAGGGTCCGAATAGTTCTCATGACCGTGAGTTCGAATCCAGGTAGTTAACGAATCGGAAATATTTGAAAACGTCTGCTGGATGCGGTCAAAATCAATATTTCCAGCATCATATATGTGTTGCAAAGTCTGGGGGCCGTCAAATGAGCTAATTGAGATTTCGGTAAAATCTACCGTTGCCGTAGTAGTAGCTTTAAGTATCCCATTGAAATTTTGACTTATGGTCGATGGTCCTACATATACCCCAAAACGATAATCCATGAGATATACGCATTTCCGAGCAAGAAGGGAATCCGTTAGTGACGAGCTGGCTTCGGAACCCGATATGTCGTAAGGAAGCCACCGGTAAGTCTTGTTAATACCACAGCCTTGGTCTGCTAGCTCGTCTATATCTTTTGGTGTTAGACAGTGTGTATCTACCATTTCGAGCCATGTAGAAGCATCTCCATTCGTGGCATTTTCCCAATAGCTTGTGGACCAGGCCATAGTCTCCGACTGGGAAATTAGGCGCTCAGCGAGATGACCCGCTTCTACTGTAGCATTATAGACCCGTACACATGGCTGGATTGTGCATGTTGCAGCTCCGTACCCTCTACAGCGCCATGAGTCGACTAATGTTTTGTTCTCGCAGCTTGCTATCAGATTTCCACTAGACATCTCCGTGTAATTGTCTGAGAAAAGTGTTTTGCCAGCGAGTATATTCAAAACAACTTTCCAATGTTCCCTTCGACTTTCGTTATACGCGGTGTCAATCTTAGCCACTTCCATGTTATTAATATCATAACAAGGGGAAGCGGTACTGGTTGCAAGGAAATTCGTTACGTTCAAGTGTGAAGATCCCGGCGATGTTTCTGAGTAGTCGCTTATTGGAATACTGGTTCTGAGTACCCGGAAGACGGAGGAATTATCCCCACATCGGATATCTAACTCGCTTGATTTGTTAGACATAGTAACATAAAACGAGTCTATAGCTATTTCTTTGGATATATCCTCGCAGGCACTACAGTATCCTATAGTGCCATAGAGGTCTGGAAAAGAGCAGTTACCAGTTGCGCATTCGGAATATAAACTACTTTCTGGTTGCGAAACTCCTCTTAGTAATGCCAACTGAAATTCGCTACCAGATACACCATTTGTAGCTAGATAGTCGTAAAACAAGTTTGTCCGAGGTAACGTAGCCCTCTCATTTAATACGGCCACGCTGCAATCAGATGGACTTATCAGTTGCTGTATAGAAGGATCAATCCCGATTGAGACAATGATAAGAAGGCCACCCAGAACAGTAAGAGGTTGATGTAAGCGTTGCGCCCAGAGAAGCTGTAATGAACCCCATGCTCCACGCCCGGCATTATCGAATCGAATTAGGTCATACAGTGGACGGCGTGCTTGTGTGAACCAGTTCCACTGGAACTGGCCGATGCATGACATAAGAATGAAAGATAGGCCAGACCTTAGAATGATAGAGTATATTGAAAGCAAGGTATTTACCGAAATCCGGAATGGCCACTGGGGTAACGGGTGTCCATCATGCGGATAGAGTGTAGCAAATATGACGAAGGGGATAGTTAGGATAAGTAAACAACTCGCGGCTTCCCATTTCCAAGAAGTAAATAAATATTTCAAACCAGCGCCGAACGTCCGGGCTTGTCCAACAGATTCCATCGGCGCGGTTGGGAGCTTAGATGGAGATGTAGGCTCTCCTAGATCCTCAGAGGAGTGCGGCCGAAAGGCACGATCATGATCATTAGCCTCTGGAGTTGGGCATTCTGAAGAGAGCGAATTATATGAGACTGCGTTCATGATGAGATGCAACGTGTTAATCCAACAAATATCGAGTGTGATAACTCTGATATGAAGGCTTAGTAAGAAGGGCGACGTATTTTGGAGATATATCGCCAGGATTAAGGAGAAAAGTCTTGTGTAGATTCTAACTATGGGCTTAAACATTGATAAGGTGGGCGTCTTTCTAGCTTAAATATAAGTTACTGTCTTGAAGTGCGGGGGTAGTCATGTCGAAAGTGTGCCTTGAGCTCTCTGCTGTACGACGCTCGGGTTCCAAAATTGTACTTTGGGGGCTTGTTTGAGATGAAGGTAAATTCGCGTTTCCCGATCTCCCTCATATAGCAACCTCCTACCCGCCTCGGATACATATTCACATTAACGTCGTGGAGCACAGTGTGGGGTCCATATGTAGCGCCTATCCCCTGAAAACAATCCTCTATACATGCCAATTCCTACTTGGCGAGATTATATCGCCGTCGGGTATTTCTGACATGGTTCTTTTATCTTCAGTGTGTGTTAATATTAGTAGAGTTATCACTGTCGTCTATACAAAACTGACGGTGCTACTAATAACAAAGAGGTCAACCTCCAGGTAACACAAAAACGTAAGGTTTACACAGTATCATATTTTTATGACATCCTTCTTTAGTTATATGCAAGTCATATATTATATGGTTAAAATACCAAAGCATTAATCTAATATTAATGATCCACCCTCTATCGAATAATGCCGAAACTAACAGGTTAGTTATACTTAGTCGAATAGCTTTATATACACTTCTTTATCTCTTATTCTAACTCCCTTGTCGTTTATTTCTTCTATCTACTTACTGCTTCTTAACAGTCAGGAAGCACTTGCATAAGGTAACAAGGCAGTTGTCCCAAATAGGAAAACTTACTCGCGTTTGATATAATATTATATTGAGGTAAATCTTAGGCATGATAACTTGGCTGATTATGTGATACAATAAGCTAAGTTACTGAGGCTAGCTCCGTGACAAAAGTGGTCTAATTTCTAGATTAAGGAGTTACATAGGCACAAGTGGATGCTGGATAATAAAATATGTTAGACCAATAATAGGGGTGTCGGGCCAGAGGAATCCTGACGCAATACGTGTCAATACTGGCTGTGCGATGACATCGTAAACATTACGACTTTTAGCTCCATAACGCCATTGTATCATCTTCTACTAATGTACTCCTTGCACAGACATTGAATCTTTGGGTAACTTCAAGTTACGATAAGGCAGTCTTAATCATTAGAATATATAGTCAACTTAGCACGTATAATATACATATCTAATTCGGTAATATAAAGTCTTGGCTTAAAGTTTAACTTAATGGGGTACATATATTATATACTATTACATCAGGGAGCATTTATAGATGAGAATCTTAAGTACTACGGAGATTACAATTATAATACCAGTTAAACCCATTTGATTGGTATATTTTTGACTATTCTCATAAGATTAAAGTGTTGCACTATAAGGTCTTTATAGAATTAATAGATAAGCCTTAATATAGAATCATCCGGAGATCGTCTTAGAAGCTAAGCGTGATGAGTGCTCACTAACGTAGCAAGGCTCGTAAGACAAATTAAAGATAACTTCAGAAGAAATATATATGCTTGGTGTGATATTTATGGTAGGATAATGTACCTAAGTTAAAACTGTTCGAACTGTGCTCTATAACTGTTCAGGGGTTAACATATAAGCTGGTCAAACCCCTAAATATAACTTCCCTTGAAAGACTGAGAAATTAAATTGTTATCTAACAGGAAAAGGAAACCGATTCAGTCCTAAGATATCATTTCGCCGCCAGCAACATAACCTACCTTACAAGTATTTTAAACCCAGCCAAAATATATCACGTGCCCATACCTATATCATTTACCTACCCCCTATCCAATCCCAATAAACCTTCTAGAACCCTCACTATGTTTCCGCGCTGAACCTGTCCCTACCTAGAAGCGAAGAAAACAAAGTAAACTAGCATAAGCTGAGTAGTATGGTGTACTATAGAATGCATCAAGCTTCTCGCAGGCCCAACTCTATGTCCTCATTCATCGACGATGTCTTCTTCTAAGACTTCTCCAAGAACTGCCAGCTGCCGAGGACACCGAACATAAGGCTTGCAAGTATAGTAATGTTAGTTACGCGGTAGCCTGAAGGCCAGAACGAGTAGAGCAGGAGAGACACAAGCGACATCAGGACTCCGACCCAAGTAAGACATAATAAAAGGAGGTCAACTTCTGTCGAAGCGTTGTCGTGTCTTCCTTGGTCGACACGACGGTGAATAGTAGCGGAGACAGCATTGATGCGGCTACTTGGACGACCATGATTGGGTAGCTGTCGTCGTTGAGCGACGGGAGGGCGTCGTCTGACCGTCCGGAAGTTATGTTGACTGAGAGTGCCGTCCAAATTCCCATGAGGTGGCTGAAGATGACGACGACAAAGCGAACTATCGCTCTAATGTCTGACATTGAGTATAAATGTGACCAGAAATATGTAACTGTGCGAGTGGGAGGGGTTATAACCCATTCAGAAGTCGATAAACCCGACTCATTATTCGTATCAGATGAACGACGATGACTCTGGTGTATGGTCGCCGCAGAAGACCTTGAAACTGCACTGACAGTTGCTAATGTCTCTTGAGACTCGCGGCGGCCTCTAATTGAAGTTGAACACGGAGCCGCGGACTCAAGCGAGAGACGATTCAAGTTGGTATCGTTTACAACGTGATTGCTACTTTCGCAAATTGAATCTATTCCGGAGTGGTCTAAACCACCGATCGTGGTGAGATTTTTCGAGAGTCTCGTTCGGTGGGAAATATCATGGGGCAACGTCCCTGAAGAGACATGTTAGATGAGTGAATGGTATTTATTAGTATAAGCCTGACCTTGTTGAGAATGCGAATGATGCTCATCTACTGTAGTAGAGAAGCTTTCGTTGAGATGGGCTCCTACACCAAGAAGATGAAGCGGCAATGGCTCGTTATAGATAGATGGTATAACTAGAAAACTATTTGCAGGATGCCGAGTAAGAGAGGATACGGGCCTATGAATATTGTGATCAAGGGTTGTGGTTATGTTTTGATCTCGCCTAGCATCTTTGGGAACTGCCATAATATCGTAACCTTGCCTGTCAACACTGCTAGGCATTGAAATATAAAGACTATTTGGTGTATGGTATATCTTTTATAGATTCAACATTTATTAGCTGATTCGAAGTAAGTAAGTTTGATTGAGCCGGCGCGTACTTTGTCTGTCCTTCTATAAGTTATAGAATAAGTGTGTAGGCGGTCCTACCTTTATATCCAGATGACTGGAGGCTACAAGGCGTGGTGTGCAAGTACCCAAGCCTCGACACGTTACACAGAGCAGAACAAATCATCCCTTTTTTTTTTAGCCAATGGTAAAACTCGATCGATGTACGGGCTGACTATGGCGAGCAAATACATGCTGCATATGCCGACTAGTACCATGCAGGGCCACAACTATTTATACCTTTCATTGAACTTGGCTAATATTGAGATTAACACCCACTACTTGTAACAATAGTACATTAAGTAAGAAAAGCATTAAAAACGATAAAAAATATCACTCTAGAGCTGACGGATATTTTAATATTTTAAAATTATAAACATGAAAGTTGTGAAGTGATATATGCTCTATTTAAAGTTGAGTATCTGTTAGCCAAGTTCAAAGTGTGTAAATTACTTGGGTTGCCGCTTCCAGGCATTCTCATGCACGGCTACCTAATCAGCGGGGCACAGCCTCGCAGGTATTGTGCCAAGGCCAGTAAGGCTCGTCCTAGGGAATGGATCGGCCTGTACTTTTCTGCGGTAACCAGTTGCTTATATGTCGGTTGCTAGCTCGTCGACCGCTGAATGATAGGTACGGAACATATGAGTATTGGACAAGCCGTTTTCAAAACGTTTCGTCATCGTAGCCCCTGAGCCTAATTGATGTACAGTGTATAATTACAAAATTACCTTCTCCTCTTCCCTCCGCCTCCAGCTCCCTCGCCGTCACCTTTCCGCTTCTTACCCTCCTTACGCCAGAACTCCTGCTTCTCTCTCCGTTCCCGCGCCTCCTTCCTCTCACCCATCTCTTCCATCTTCTTCTTGAATTCGGCACGCTTCTCGTCTTTCTTAGCCTTGCGCCGAGCCACCGTATCTTTGCGGATCGTCGTCAGCTTCTGCAGTAGGTCACGTGCCTTACGCTCTTCTCCGCCGAGTACTACTGCCCGCTTCTGCATATATGTCTTGCGCTTCTGCGGCTTCGTCTGTATGATCTGTGACTTGAACGGCAGTTCCGCTGCTAGAGCGCGGGGCACCTTTAGTGGGTTGAAGTGTCGTGTTGCTCGCTCAATTTTCCGGTATTTGCTGTTGTTGTCCTGCGGTGTTGCAATCCCTTGGTCCCGTCGTACCTCACCCGTCAGCCGCATCGACTGCCAGTTACCAAGGAGATTGGTAACCGGATTATAGAACCGGTGCGGCTTGATGGGGTACCAAGCGCGAAGGAACACCAGATCGCTGATCAGGATCTTGTCTTCGAACGTGGCGCGGAAGTGCCCGTCGGGTTTCGAGAGGGCGCGCTTGATCTGACCACGGATACCGGAAACGGTTTTGATTGCGGCACCTTCGAACTTGGCGATTTCCAGCGAGCTGTTGAACATGTCCTTAATGAATGCGGTATTCTTGAATATTTTGTATGGCGCACCGGTGAGTTTGAGCTTCTTCACAATCTCAGTCGACTCATCAACAGAAAGAACAGTTCCAGTTGCAGCGATCCGGAAGCCTGGGTTGGCGGAGGAAAAGGACTGGAAACAAACAAAACCTGTATTCGGTGCGATTAGAGGACCGTAAAATGTACCAAAGCAATGCATATGCTCGGGCGTATACTTGAGCATGCGATTTCTCGTCCGAGAGTCCGAAATGCTGTATATTGGGAGTGTTTGGAATCTCCTCCACCCAAGAGAGAAGATAAGGGGATCGTTGGTTTTGAGAATTTTCTTGTGCCAGCGGTGTCTCTTGATACGGACCTGGACAAAACCAAATCGATCCTCTGTAGCAAGCACACCTCCGACTATAATAGGCATCCGAGCGTTGAAATTGGTGACGAACTCTGCAGGAACCTTCTCAAGCAGAATCTTGGCATATTTGCCGGCTTTGAAACCCTCAACAGCGACTCTTTGCCGTTCGTCCAAGGCTTCAAATTCGGCATTGTTGATGTCAAGTTGCTTTTGAATGAGCGCCTTTTGCGCATCATACCAGTCGTCTTCACCAAACTCCTCGTCGTCTCCACCTTCGCGCCTAGCTTGGGCTTTGTCATTTTTAAACCCTTCGCGATCTTCCTCCTCAAATCGTAGCTTCAGCTCTTCTTTCCTCCGGGCATTCCTTTCGCGCTCTGCTTCTAGGCTCTCTGCTGGCTCTGGCTCGGGTTCAGCCTTGTGCTTTTCACCCGTTTCAAGGTCTTCAAACTCGCCGTCTCCTTCATCGTCCTCATCTCCATCCTCATCGTCGAACCCATCAAATCCGTCTTCGTCGTCGCCGTCTCCACCGAGCGTCGCTGTTGTAAAGCGCTGGCGGAGCTGCTCAACGTTATCGTCGAGTGTCCATTTAGTAGCTAACTGGTCATAATCGTATAGGGGTATCGAGCGGTCTTCTGAGCTTGCATCTTCTTCGTGCTTTGCCTTCTTGAAGAAATCTTCGTCTTCGGAGTCTTCAATATTTTCTTCCTCTTCTTCTGCCTCGACTTCTCCTTTCCATCTCTGTAGCACCTCATCAGCCGTCAAGGCCTCATCGTACATTAGGCGTGCGAGATCTGCTGTTCGGTAGGATGGACGGCCACCATGGCGAAGTAGTGCTTTCCCAGCTAAGTTGTCCTTCCACCTGAGTGCGGATTCTTCTACATCATCGTATTCATCTTCTTCGTCGTCGTCGTCGTCGTCGTCATCGTCGTCTACCTCATCACCTGATATAGAGCCTAGATCTGAGTCGCTATCGGCAAATGCGATATCTTCCTCGTCGCCCTCCTTATCTGACTCCTTAAACATTTTGCCCAATTTTTGCTCATTGAACTCTGGCTCTTCGTCCGAATTGAAATCTTCCTCTCCACTAACAAAGCCTTCGTCTTCGGGAGTTTCCTCTTCGTCCTCATCCCTTGCAGCGAATCTTGCATTCCGTTGGCTTTTCCTTCCAGTATCTTCCTCCTCGGGGACACTTGTTATCTTCTCACCACCTCGAAACAGCTGCAGGCCGTCTTCCGTCTGACCTAATAGCCGCCGTTCTCCCTGGAGCCCGATAATGAGCTCTTCACCCTCGCCACGCTCTACGTCTTCGGCGTCCTTATCAAAATTAAAGCCTTTTTCCCTAGTAATCCAAATAGCATCACCATCTATTTTTAGACCACTTCTATCTGACATAGGAGCATGAAGCTTCTTTTCCTTTTCGTCTAGTCGCCTTCGGCCAGTTTTTCCAGTCGCTTTCGCAATGGCTTGTTCCATAGCTGGGGTTGGACATGGATCAGGTAGCGCCTCTATACCCGACACAGAGAAATCGCCTAGACCAGGAATATGTACTTTTTGATTGTGGCCCGAGAAGTTAGTTCCTCGAAGATACCCTGAAAGAACAACTGAACGATCACAATTTTCGTCCTCCTCAATCTGAGTAGGGTGCGTAATATCTCGGAAGCTGTCTATGATAACATAGGGATGTGAGTTCCTCCAAATTAGCGGTCGGGGATTTTTCATGACTGAAAGGAATCGAGATAGGTTGTGTATTTCGCGGTCTGGATATCGCCCATTAATAACACCAGATAAATAGAATAGATGTGCGCCCTGATATAATTCACTCCATAATCTGTGTTTTAGTCTTTTCTTTGCATCTTTTAGAGCCTGGGGTTTTTTGAATAAGTCTAGATGGGTCAGAATGCCGAACACATTGCCAGGCATACCCGTTGCAGCTAGGATATTTAAGAACTCCATAGTCTCCATTTCGAAGCCAAAGTTTCCGTCAATCATCAGTAGGACGATATCGGCGACTTTAGCTATGTCGACCATCGCCTCGAGTTCATTGGGACATTCGACAAAGGTCAACCGTTGTTTTTTTGATGTGACCACGGTGATGGGCCCCTGAGGTTCTGAGATCGTCTCCTTTGCATATCTGCGAATGAGCGACTTTAATAACGTCGTTTTTCCAACGCCAGGCGGTCCAACAATTGTTACGAGTCTCGGAGGCGCCTCGCTGGGTACCCGATCGACGAGAGGGACGTGAAATCGCTTTTCTTTGATCTAATATAGCGAAATTAGTTACAATATTTGAAACCCCAATTCGTGTGGATTGTGCATACATCTTGAGACCTCGCAGCTGCGCGTTGTAGTTTACCGGGTCTGGAGAAGGCGAAGGCCTTAGGATTGTGATCTGGTCCTGTTAGTAGTGTAATAATTATAATTGAAGTTATACTAACCACCAGCTGGCTTCTTCTTCTCTTTCGATTTGCGATGAGGTTTGTGCGCCTGTTGCTCCATGATTGCGACTTTGCGACGTTGAACGCAACAACTTGGCTCACGTAAAGATGGCTGCGGCAACTCGAGTCCTTTGCATTGAAGAAAAAAAGTTTAGACGATCAAGTTCTTATCGATAACGATAAGAATAATTTTAATGGGTCAGCGGGTTCAGATTCATCTAAGCTGCTAAGCTGCTAAGCTGATGTAAAGCGGGGCATACCTTCGGGTCCCTGAATTCTACTTCAGGGTAGGTTACTAGCGGCTTAAGGCCTCGATTAGAGACGGGATAAAGGTACCTAACCTAAGGTAACTTCCAACATATGCAACCTAGAACCTTTGATATAAGCACCGAGGTATCACATAAACGGATCGGTAGTGATACTGTCACTTGAATTATATATCTTCTATATGCGGCGTGGAAGAAATCGTGTATTAATATGGATCTATCTATGCAGTGTTGTGCACCTCACTTGAACCTATAAAAAGGGATTTGGAACAAGTTATGCCATCCATGGGGAATAGTTCTGGCTTAAACCGAGTTATTCGCTCCGCACACGGAATCCAAGACGTATTGGCAATACAAGGTCGTACATATTACCTACTGTATACGCAAGCTACGGGATGAGTCAAATGCCAGCTTAGAGCCAAGAAAGCTGCTTAGCTGCAATGTACCTATTAAACATCAATTGTCAGAGGCCAACGGCGTTTCCAAGGCGCTAAGGTGTAAGACAAATCGTTAAAGGAACGGGGAAGTTTGCTTTAAAGGTTAGGCCGTAATGACGTATTCACCCTCCCACCTGTCGAAGATCTCCTACGCCTATTCAGTCCTATGCCACCTTCCTTACGGCGATACTAAACGCTCTAACCTAGGGATACGTATCTTAGCTGCTATGGCCTTTACCGAGACGGGCAGTCTCCCAATAATAAATTCCCGCTCATGCATTCTCCTATTTCTATCCGCTTTGCCCAACTCTTTATCTTACAACACCAACGTCTACCTTTCTCTTCATTCTACTACCTTGCAACACAAGACTATTATAGACCACCAACCACACGCTTATTCTGCACAACAACATCTCTGAAAATGCCTAGCTACATTGTAATTGCAAACTTCCCTACGACGTCATAAATAACTAGTCCGTTGAGGCATTATTGCTCACTGTCAAATAGGTTACCCTTAAGGAGAACGCTACTCCCGAGGAGGTGGCTGCGGCGAAGAAGCACGCTCAGGACCAGGGCGGCAAGATTGGCCACGAATACAGCCTTATCAAGGCTTTCTCGTACGTGATTCTTTAACATTTATATTTTAATTTGGCATGCTCCTAATATTTACTTCGTATAGTGTTACATTCCCTAACGACGCCGTGAATACGCTGGAGTCCCACGAGCATGTTAAAGCTGTCGAGCTGGACCAGGAAGTGAGGACGCAATAACTGTCGTGATGAGGGGCAATTTGGGTGTTACAGCGCCATCGCGCGAGCGTGACCGAGCCAGCAGGCCAGTGTATGATGCGGGGCTTTGAAGCTATGCTACTACGGTACTAGGTTATACTAGAAAGCTTGACTTGACTTGGCTTATGCAAGAGTCAAGAATAATAGATACCTGATCTACGAAGTACCAATCTTTCTTACCAAACGTCACGTATGTAAATTCGTCCATTTGTAATTGCCATGATTGGATTGTCTCTACGTATGTACAATGCGCGACCTGTGATGTATCTGGTGCAAGGCAAGATCAACTAACTATCTTAGGTACCTTACACAAGAGATCTTACCTGAATAGGTACATAACAAGAACCCCTAAATGGTATTGTACTGTATTGTACAATACAACAGAACAAAGATCGGCATCGGCCGCAGACCGTAGCAGATAAGGACCCTTATCAACTCCATTCTCAGCACTGACGTCGATGTTCCCGGGCTCGTGACTCCGACATATCAAAAATCAAATCTTTTATTATTTCGTCTTCAAACCCTGGTTATGACTCCAACTGCTCCAACATACAACTATTCTACACTCCTGCTCACCGCTCGACACCACACAATGCCGCCATGAAGAGCATATATAGGCCGTTGCGGTGTTTTCACGCACCCAAGGCCTCGATTGCGAGTTCCAGACGCAACGTCCTTGGATCGTGTTTTTATTCGTCACATGCTACTAGCAGCTCGTCGCCTCTGTTGTCGAACGATGAGAAATGGTCCCATCCCCCAAGCACCGCGACGGTGACCGACGACGAGATTGCAGATCTCGCCAACAAGAAGCAACACCCATTGAGTCTTGCTGATTTGGTCAAGTACGTAGCTATTCCTCAGGTTTATTTAGCATATCGTATTATCTTCACCGCTTCTAGTTTATAAGACATATAACATATAACTATACGTATTTAGAGATAGGTACCTAAGCTAATAAAGACCAATTAAACAGACATGGTCGGCCACCTCTCTCAGCAGAGGCCCTTTTCTCGTCGGCCAACTTCACTCTTTCCCTACTGCCTATTCGACTAGCCCATCGCATCCAGGCATTGCGAAACCTACCCTTCATCGTGGTCTCGAACCCCAACATCAGCAGGATCTACCACAACTACTTGCATTCATTATCGACTCTCCTACCTTGGAAACACCATACTATCAACAACCTAGATGCCGAAATCCTATTCACCTCAGTTCTTGCCGAGCTAGTCCACACCCACCAAGATACCATTCCTATCCTAGCTAAGGGCTTCCTCGAATGCCGGCGGTACATTTCTCCCCAGGAGGTTACGCGTTTTTTGGATACTCACCTGCGCACCCGTATCGGCACCCGTCTCATCGCCGAGCAGCACATTGCCTTGCACTACAGCAGCCTTCCACACTTCGACCCTTCTGCCTCGCCAACCCCGTGCCCCGAGCATCCTTCCTACATTGGCGTTATTGATACCGCCCTCTCGCCCTCCGCCGTTGTAGACTCGTGCGCCGGCTTCGTGGCCGACATCTGCGAGTTGAAGTATGGCGTGCGACCACACTGGGTGATCGACGGCGAACCCTCGACCACTTTCGCCTTCGTGCCCATGCATCTGGAGTACATCGTGACGGAGCTGCTAAAAAATGCGTTCCGCGCCACCGTAGAGAGCGGTCGCAACCGCGAGCCCGTCGTCATAACTATCGCTCCAGAACCACCTGACGCCGGCGGACCCCGCGTAACCCTCGACCCCCCTGCCGGCAACAAGGGCGCTTTCAAGAGCGACGCCATCATGCCGCTCGACGACAACGCGCCGGGAGTTACCATCCGCATCCGCGATCGCGGCGGTGGCATTGCCCCTGATGTCTTACCAAATATCTGGAGTTATAGCTTTACTACCTTCATGGAGGAAGATATTTCGGGTGGCAACGGGAACGGGGGTACTGGTAACGATGCGTTAAGCGTGATATCCGCATCCGGGGGTAACGGGAGCTCCATCGCCGGTCTGGGCTACGGACTTCCGCTTAGCCGCGCTTACGCGGAGTACTTTGGCGGCGGCATAGCTGTTCAGAGTCTGTACGGCTGGGGAACCGACGTCTACTTGCGGCTGAAGGGCGTCGGCAAGATTGATACTATAAGTCCATAAGGCGTATAGTTTTACGATGGATTAAAAGACAATCTAGTAGACAGGTTGCTTATGTGACGCCATTCTACTTGACGAAATGTGTGCATGGGTCGACGATCATGATATATTCTGTTTTATATTTTATCTTTTCATTTTCCTCAAACGAGCTTCGGGTGTATATAGGACGTATACTATTAGCATTATCTAGTAAACTTGTAGCGTAAGAACGTCGTCTTTGCTCTGGTCTCACCGTAATGGTGTCACTACTCCCAATCCGTAGCCGCACACGCACGAGCCTTATGACTTCTTTGTCCTCGGATGCTAACCTTGAGACTAATTTGTACTTACGGCATTGCTTATCAACCCCACGTGGTTGGCATACGGTAAGGATTATAGGCTCGTTACATTACTATTGATAATCTTCCGTTGTAACATCGTACGTAGAATAGCATAGCACCGGGAATTTCACATACGATAGAAAAGTAAACTGTTTGGAACACATATCACTCGTCACGACGTATAACCCGAGTCTTCTTTTTATTAAATTTGATTAACCCGGCGGCAATGCTCACTCACTACGGGAACGAGGGCCACGGGGACGTATATAACAATATATAGCCATGATATGATATGCAGCAAAATAAGATATCCTCAAACCATCATGTTTAGCCAGAACCAGCAAAACGCAGCAAAATAGAGGAAAAAGCAAGCATGATAGTATGACCTAGAATCCGACTCCACCGTCTCTACCGCTAATACGAATCCCGTCACTTTCTTTTGCGTGGACGAATAGTATGCGGCTTCATCTGGTTGAAAAAAACGCCAGCAAAGACAATATTCTTTTGAATGATCCGGTTCCGCCCCCCAAACCTGCTAGTATCACATCAAACATGATCAACCCGAGTTGCTTGCTATTATGTACATCCAGATTAATTCGCCTAATATCTGCTCCGATCGACTCTGGATAGAAGATTATGCGGTTACATGTTAGCTAATTCGTTATCAATCTGGCGGTCAAGGAACATCTTTCGCTCGCCAATCAACTCTGTCTGTAGCCGCTGTTCAACGAGAGCACGGACTTGTTTTTTGGTTACCGTGTCCAGATCGACTTCTCGGAGCACAGCCTGGATTGCCTCTATGATCATCCCATCATCAGGCCCTAGGTGACCTCGTTGGAAGTCAAAGGATGTAGTAGATTGATGACCTTGGCCTAATGGTGGACGGGCACCGCCAGCATAACCCAGTGTGGCGTTAGAAATGCGGTGCATGTGCTGTGGAGAGTTGTTGGATACGGCACGGAGATTGCTCATGCTGGGTTTTTGTGTGGGTAAGTCTTGGAAAGGTGATTGCATGCGCTGCATGTCGCCAAATGATGCAGTAGAGTGTCGGTACATTGGGTTATCCGTGTAAGGGCCAGATCCAGATTGGCGGTGCATGTGCTGGAAGGGAGCTGGCGATTGGGGTGGCATAAATCCACCACGGCCTTGGAGACCAGTGAGGACCGAGGGCTGTCGAACCGAAGAATAGACTGATTTCATGTCGTCCATTTCGTAGGTATCGTCATAGAAATCATGTGCCTTTTCATTTTGAGCGCCGCGACGACCAGGTAGGTTATTTAACGTGGCATAATCATCCCAGCGCTGCAAAGGAATGGAACGCGGGTCGAAGCCCTCGTCATCAACCGCCACCACTTGCTTATTGCCCTTCTCGCCAATTACGATACGCGTGTTACCCCAGCTGAAGTTATCTTGGTTCCAGAAAGAGTAGATCGGAAGAACGAAGGAGTAGATAGGGAACGCGAGGAGGTAGATGATCATCCAGCCGACATGCTGCCATTGTCTCTTAAGGATGAAAATCAGGGCTTGAAGACCATAGACCGCAGCTATCATAGCAATAGAAACGATAGGGAACGGACCAGTGTTGGAAATGATAAGGTAAAGGAGGTAACCAATATAAACACAAGTGGCGGGGAGGATAAGTGTTCCAGTAAGATCGATGAAGACAACAAAGCGCATAGAGAAACAGCAGAATCCACACATGTCCCTGAGCATCATCAACTCGACAAGATTGTGGATAGTTGAGTTAATCCACCTTCGCCGCTGCGAGAGCAAGACATTGAACTTTTCAGGAGCAGCCGTCTGACAGTACGCATCAGGAATGAACTTGAATGCCATACGTGGGAAGTGCTTTGTCATCAGCGTAGTGAGATATCGATCTTCACCAAGAGATAGAAGATTCTTTTTATGGAGAGTGTCAACGGCGCAAATGCTGTAATCTTTAATGACTCCGTCAGAAATAATCAAGGGTCTACCCCGGTCAGCAGTACGCAGACGATACATGGTAAAACTGGAAAACAAGGTTAGCATAACGATATATATGACGACGGTGAGCGGAGACTTACCATCCGGGTAGACAAGTAACACTGCCGAAGAGTGATTCGAAAGCTTTTGACAAATGGTGCGAGATGTAATATTCGTAGACCTGAATCATACTCCACCAGGAACGTTCCTCGTTTTGGAGACCAGTCTCGCCACAGATACCAGCGATCTTTGAATTATTGGCGCAGGCAGCAACAAGTCGGTTGAGGGAATCCTCCCGTACGCAAGTATCAGCATCGACCATCAAGAGGTACTCGTACAGTTCAGGGTCAACGCCGATAATGTTATTGATTTGATGGAACATTTCCAATTCCAGGGGATTCATTGGGGCACGATGGTGGACACGGTTTAAGAAGCTCATTAGTAAGATCTGCGAGTCACGCTTGCCACGGTTACCAGGCTTCGCTTTGGCCTGCTCGGATTCTTTGCCTACTTTGACGACAACAAGGTAGGGGACCACATTGCCTTCATATTCGTAAAGCCCAGAATAGACCTTGCCGTAGTTAAGCTGTTCGCTGCCAGTACCAACGGACTTGAAGGGTAGAGCTGGGGGGTCGACCTTGGGATCAACTCCGAGGATATCGAGAACAATCTTGGGCGTAGGTCGATCGTTACCTTCACCAACAATAACACCGTCGCAAATAACACAGATCAGCTTCCTCTTGTTATCATACTGTAACGCAGTGAGGGAATCAAGTGCTTTTCTCAAAGAATCTTCTCCCTCCGTATAGGCTGGAACCTGGCAGATGACGAACTTATCCTGTGGGGCGGGACGCCGTTTGGAGCCAAACTGCAAGGCGGCAAAGAACTTAATTCCAGTAACTATGCAAATGATAATAGCAAAGGCGAGGAGGATATAGTTGTTTGCTTGACATTTAGCCGAATAGCGGAAATCCGGTATGCCGACGTAGAAGGTTTCCTTGATACAGTTAAGACTGTTCAGTTTCGTGGCAAGGGCTGTCTTATTCCCCTTAACATCGGCGATTTGGTCGGTCCATAAGCTTGTGACGTCTTGTCCCGGGTTATCCTTGACTGCATCGATTAGATCCTCGTCCAGGAAGTTGTACTGTGCAAGATTCTTATAATAATCAATAGTATTGAAATAGTTCGTCAGGTCGTAGATTCCGCCTTCATAGATAATCCACATGTGGTTGTTATTCGTGCCGTCCTCATGGACATCATTGATATCCCAGACTAGATCGCCATGGTAGTATTCCTTGATCTTGGGTTGGAATGTATCACGATACCAAGTAGCGGATCTCAACTTAGATGTCTGGTCAGCCTGGTAATACCCGGACGTATGAACACCTTGGGGTATAGTGGGCGTGTTGTTCCTTTGCAGCTGTATAGTATCAGAAATACCTAGGCCAGGGCATGTAAGCTGGAGAGGGGCCACAAAGTAGTCGTCCAAATTCATTCCGGCGAATTGCATCATGAGATCGTTCGTTGTTTCGATATTTGTGTCACTATGCTGTTGTCGCCAAAAGTTGGTAATATCGTAGACTCTGCCATGAATACTAACCCAGAAATCATCTTCGCCTTGGTGAGTATCGACTTCTGTCTGGAGCCAAGCTTTGTCGAAATTAGGACATATGAGGCGACCTAATAAAATAATCCAGAAAATGACAAAAGCGTTTATCAAAAAGATGAGGAAGACCAGAACAAACTTCTCTCGCCAGGCCATCCGAACATCTGGCCGTTTCATTCGGCCGATATAGCGAAGAACGAAGGAAGGAATCCAGAAAGTCAAAGTCCAAACGAAACCAACCCAAATCCGTCGAGTTAGGGTTGTATCTACGGTTTCAACATGTTTGCCCTGTGCATCAGCAGCATCCAGGCTGCTAATGAATTCACCGTCACCAGTGTAGAATACCTGGTCCCGATGGTTGTCGCCTTTTGATCCCAGACCGTAATCGCCGTTATTACCGTTACGCATAGCGGAGGGTGCAATGGAAGCAGCCCTCATTTGGCTCTGCGCAAGCGTGAGGCGACTTTGGTTACGCTGGTGGTTGACAAGTTGATCCTGGCTACCGGAAGAGTTGTGATCGGGAAAATTTGGAGGGAAAAATCCACTGCCATTGTTGGAATATCCTGTTCCAAGACCAGGCGTGTTGAACACATTGCCCATACCGCCCATACCACCAGGTATAGAGTCCTGTGGCGGTCTAAGGTCGAGCATACTCTCAGCTTCCCACCAGGCAGTTTCTCTCATCCAAACTCGCTCTTTACCAATAACTACTTCACCATTGCTCCAACCTCTCTCGAGAATCCATGTCTCGATACCATCACGGCCTTCTCCGCAGCCAAGAGGGGCGAAGCGTTGGCAAAACTCATCCACATCAAAATCAGCCGTAAAATCAAGGTTCTTGTTACGACGATTAGCCCACTCAGGCAATCTCCAAGCACGTAGCTGGCGAGAAACTGTACCAGCTGACCAAGCAGATGTGATAGAAGGAAGTGCGGCTAGGCTAGCTGGGGTTTCATCAGTGGGGTGAAGAGACAAATGGTACCAAACTCGGCTGGCGCTCAGTATAGCAGGAAGGTCTAGTCGCGCATTCCGACCTAAGTTAATCCCCTGTCCAGGGACGGGGAAAAGTAACTTTTTCAGAAAGCCATCATCATCACTGGCGAAGCCAGCCTTCTCCAAAACCTCCTCCCTCTTCTCAAGCTCGTGC